AGACAACGCCCGTCCATTACCGATTGTATTAATTCGGATCATACCAATTTGGAAATAGGATTGGAAGGGAGTGTTGAGAGATAATGCTCTGTTCACATGAAAAGACAGAAAGCTTTGAAAACATTTCAGAAAAGTCGATCACAAGAATCAGGTTGGTTACAGAGACCCAATGAGATGTGCTTTTACATCAGCACATCATTTGTCCAATCTCACAGAGAATTTTCCTCGAATCGGTGTCACGTAGATATCACCCAGACATCTAGTTTCTATGGAGCTGAAATAGATTCAACAGAAGCTATAGCTGCCAGACGGTAAACTGGCGCTTTCCATATCTCGACACCCGGTAAAAACACACACACCAAATTTCAGAAAAATTGCGGTGGGCAGAAAATGGATGGCTCAGGGAGACTGAATGATGCGGCAGTGGAATGCAAATCTCAGAGTCAACACCCACCTTCAGTTTCGTTTTATCTCGATCACAATGATAACTGACATGGTGGTAAAAAGAGGCAAGTGAAGATGAGCTTTTTTGCCAATACCACTAATTAAATTCAACCGGAACAGGTCCTCGAGTGTCCATCAAACCAAATAGCTACTTACTAGGTGTACATTCCAGATCAGCAGAGAACTACGGTAACAAGAAGCTGTAGATTAAATTATTTAAAATCGTGAGAGCTCCAGTGATTTCTAAATCGAGCAGGTTTGTACTTAATTGGGCGTTGAACCTATCATGAACTCACTGTAAAGTTCTTGTTTACAGGAGCAGGTGGGCTACATACCTGGTAAGCAACATTTAACATGATGGAAAACCTACAGTAGCCTGTGTACGGGCCAGCGGCATTAAACACAAATACGTATACAGAAATCAGTGTCGTCGATCGGGAGTGCTTAGAAAGGTTATATAATAATTCCACCTTTAATCATCGAGCTCACATCCTCGAATCCGAGTGGTTTACGGCGAGCTTTTTTCGTTAGAGGCTTTGGTTTGGAAGGTCTTTCCAAAAGCTGCAGATGTTCTCCTAAAGGGCCAGAAAAGGCAGCCCCGAGTGCAGCAGTCGACGGTCGCCACTGTCCTCTAGTGGAGTGTTGACATGGAAGCTCGGTACAATTCTGCTGCTGCTACAAGGGACTTGACACAGATGCGGATAGTGTTCCTTCCTGTACAGGTCCGAAGCGCCGACCACGGTCTAACCGCGCGAAGCCCCAACATAGTCAGACAGGGCTCAGATTTACCGGTACTGTCCTGAGGGGTGGGCTGCCTGGTAAGGCAGCTTCCTCTTGCGCATGCAGCGGCCGGGTGGGGCCCCCCGGCGCCCTCAGGATTGTCTCTTCTTGTCGAGATCGAGAGTAAAGCGCTATCCACGTGGCCAGAGGGGAAGCATCCGGCCTCGTCGTAAGAATCAAAGTCAACGATTTTGTGAGTGCGCGATGGACCACGTGGCATTCCAGTCGGTCGAATCTTTGTCCGGGGGTCGAGGGAGTCGAGGGCCCCGAGCTCACCTCGCCGCCATCGGTCACCGGCTTCTGAGGATCCTTTTGTTCACCAGATTATGCAAAGGTACGATGAGATTTCATCGATCTGGAGTTGGCCCTTCCGTTATCGACCTAATGCTCGTTCCATTTCTGTCCATCCACGCATCGTGCATTTCGTTATCCCCATCAAAATTCGATCCGACAAATCCTTCAGATATGAATGTAAGTCGAGCTTATGAAACAAGAAAACTTTATTTCTTTGATTCATGGACGCCGGCGTGCTCAGCGTTCATAGGACCATCCGATCCTCCCTTATTCTATGATTTATATTCGTAATTTATTCTTCACTGGTAATTTATTATGTCTCCAATCATCACTAAATAAGGGTCATTTAATTGTATTAACTATGAAATAATTAACATATTTATATACGTTTTTTTTGAATTCTTATATATTGAAAATAAATAAATTCCATTTACAGTATTGAATGGAATATTCTATTTGATACATTCACTTCAACTTTTATTCCTAACTTTATTTCATATTTATCACTATACAGAAAATAATTATAATTCATTTAAAATTTAAATCATATCAGAAATTCTATTGTATTCATATAATTATGTTCAAAGAAAATTCTTCTAAAATTTTTTTATATAAGTAAATTAAATCTCAAGTATGTGAAGTTAATGATGATTATATAATCATTCATTTTATTTTAGCTCAGGGAAATAAAATTCTCAAGTTGTTCTTACTATTTTTCACACATGTTGATTTTTAGTTATATATCATTATTTTCTATGATTTAATATAGGTGTCACGAGGAAAGCCAGAATTCATTTACACTTAGAGTCAATGGAGATCACATACGTATACAAACAGAAATTCAACATACGTGGTGTCTATTTCTACTTGACACATTAGACTCTAATGTGTCAAGTAGACACATTACACAATACACTCTAATGATTAGAGTGTATTGATGAAATTCAAAATGTATCACCAAAAGTAATGTTTTTAAATCTTGAGAAAATTTGACCAACATCATTGTCTGTGATTAAACTAACATGAATGTTCATAGGATTTGAGTTGATTTATAGAAATGTAATTAATTATTATTAAATAAAAATTTTAAATTTTAAAATATATATAATTTTATTTATTTATTTATTTACATTTTTATTGAAGCACTTGAGCTCCTTATAGTATTTGTTGTGAATCTTACTATTCTATTTTGATACAAAAGTTTAGTTGTTTTAGTCTATATTTATAACTAAATTAATTTTTTTGTCTTTTATAAATTCAAAATTACCATATATATAAAAACTTAAAATTGGGTATCATGTTTCATTATCAAAATCATTCAGTTTTTTATTGTTATTTTTAAAAATTCCAAAAAAATGTGTACAGAGATTAAAGTTTGAATTATCTGCAGTATGTCACAATCTATCTACTAGGTGATTTATTGAATAAAATTTTAAGATTTTTTGAAACACAACATTTAATTGGGAATTTTTTTTTAAGTTGGTAGGAATGACAATACTTTACCATGTTAAAGGGGAAATTGAGCGAAAGGACATTTATTATTGTGGTACTTGAATTTTTAAGATTTGAAATATATTTTTTGACTACTTTGAAGAATTATTTTCTATTTGCAGGTTTGTTTCAAAGAATGTCTCTTACTGATGAATAGAAAATTTATTTCCTCGCATGTGGAATGATTTTTGTAAATCTGGTTTTTTTAAATATCAAAAATTATGTTCACAGCAAAAATTTATTATATAATTGAAGAAAGAAAAGAAAAAAAATCCCAAAAGCTCGCGAGGATTTATGAATCTCACTCTTTCAGGCCAAGGAAATAAATTTACTTTATTGCTTTTTTGGATGAGTTTGTTCTTCACATCACTCTTAATTCGTTGAAATTGGTGCGAAAGTGGTGAAAATTTAAGTTGTGGAAATATATTTGATGGTACTTTTTTAAAATTCTGATCAAAGAGCTCTGAAATCACTGATTTAGTTAAGTACTACAGAGACCGGACTAGAAAGAGGGCAAGCCTATGATGCGGAACCGGTGAAGGGTTAGACTGCAATGATCAGTTGAGTTCGAGGGGTCTAGAGTCTCTAGTCATTCCTACACAAATCAACCCTAGCGGTACTTGAGCTTAGTGCAGAAAAAGAAAGCATTGACTGTCGAATATATTCAAGCCAAGGAAATCAAAGATTCAATGATTCCATGATGATTGGCTAGACAGGTGCGCGGAGGAACTACTTCTATTTCTCTGAGACCAGCGAAATCTTCATTCGTTCAAGAGGAACAAAACGGGGAAACTGGCATGTGGAAATGCCAGGTCAAGAGTTTTTCTAGCTTAAAAAGACATGTTGAAAAAAATGGAAGCTAAAAAATATCTAGGGGAAGATATTTTGAGGTTTCCTTTCGTTCTTTAAAATGAACAGGCCAAGAATAATGCTGTTATAAGTGAGAATCCCCAATAAGTTTTACAAAAGGGAGGTGATTGTCTGAAAAGTACAGTAAACAGTTAAAAAGTGGGGTTTGGGGATCTAAAAGCTGAAGAATAATGGTGTTTTACCCGAGTGTGCCAATCAGTATTCTGGACAAGGATTCAAATAGGAAAAAGTCACAAGACAGAAAAAAAGGTCGAGGATTAAAAAATATGTCTGAACCCCGGCTCTCCGGTATGCAAGTCCCGATGTGTAACAAGGGAGGAACATTCCGAACAGAAATTGCAATGAACAATCATCTCAGATCAGAAGGGAAATAAAGTGGCACAATTTCGCAGCCATGGGCTCTCATGTAAAGGCACTTGCCAAATCTGTGAGCACCGCGCAAGAGGGGCGCCATCGACCACCTGGAAGCAGCTACCAGCATTACTATATCGGCCGTGAACAGCTACTGGACAGAAAGGAGCTTCGAGACAAAAATGTCAGGGCGTCTCAGATTTGTCTTGTGCCTCAAATTTGTCTCGTTAGAAATTTATGAGATTTTCTGACGAACGTAAAAGGGAATGGGTGGATTTGGCTCCCGGAAGGGGGGGAGGCGTCAGTCGGACCGGTCAGTCAGTCAGTCAGTCAGGGGCGACCGCGGAAGGCGGGACCGGGACGCCTCCATCCATATTTCCGTCCGTCTGTCCGTCCAGGGCATTCCATCTCAGCAACCGAGGAACAGGAGGCGTGGTGGCGGTACGTTCGGTACTGACGGAATGCGGCGCCGCGAGGTGCAGACATAAATTCTGCGAACCCGGGCCGCCTCCACCCGTGCGCTCGATTCTCATGTCATTTGCCTGAAATTTGATTTCCAATCGATGGCGGAGCCGGCCGCTAATGGAAATGCGGGATTCGAACACGTGACCGTGACGGCTGCATCTCCAATTTCGCGGTCGCCACGATTGGTCGCGCGCGTCTTGAATACCGGAAATAACCGGCTCCAGCCCGAAAGTCCATCCGTCGAAACGGCAAGCCGCACGCTGCACGTGGCGGGGGTCGATCGCGAGACGCCCGAGCGGGCGGGGGGAGAATCCCGGTGAGCGATGCGTGCGGCGACGGATGCATCATCGGGCGGCGGCGAGGCGAGCAGGGAAACCCGAGGGGGGTTAATTTTTAGGGGCGGCGGTTAGCCTTTTAGCGGCTCCAACGGAGCGATCGGACCGTGCGGTACAGAAGTAGCAGGGGACCAACCGACCAAGCGAGCGAGCGATGTTATGTGAAGCCGCTCGCAGTAGGGTTGCAAACCGTTGTACAGTTGCCGTCCCTCCGTCCCGTGCCCTTGGGCCTTCCCTCCGGGGAGAGGCCGAGACTGCGCTCAGTGCTTGTGGAGTGGTCTCTGCGTCTGGAGAGTGAGCTCCCCGAGGAGTGGAGGAGGGAGCGAGGCAGGCAGGCAGGCAGGCTGTGGCAGGGACGAGTTCTGGCTGGCTATGGCGATCAGGCCATCAGGCCCCAGAAGCTACTAGCTGTTCGTTAGGATTACACGAGAAATAGAAGCGCTCGAGTGCTCCGGGGTGGCTGCCTGGCGGGGCTCGGATCTCACGGACCGACGGAACGGGAAGGCGGAAATTTTCGTGGCACCGGCCTTGGTTGGTGTAGGAGGGAGGGAGTGAGGGAGGGACGGGAGAAGCGGAGGGGTTTGCGGCTTGGGGCTTGGCGGCGTTGCATGCCATAAAAGGGAGGGGAGGGGGAAAGGCATACTTTGTCCTGAGGTGAACGCGATCTTGAGACCTGAGCAATATTTGTACTGAGCAAAGGGTCATGAGGAAGGAAGGGAGGGAGGGAGAGAAAGAGTGTGTGAGAGAGAGAGAGAGTCGGAGGATGGGAGATGAGCTGAGATGAGATGGGAATTCGGGTGTGAGTGAGGCATTGACGAACTCGTGACCAGGAAGGAGGTGGGGATCGGGCGGGGGATAGGTAGAAATTCATGGTGCTGTGGGAATTGGCAAGTAGCGGAGCCGGGTGGGGCACTATACAGCGGGGCTGGTGGTGGGGAAGGTGGAGCGAGCGAGAAAGAGAGAGAGAAGACGTAAGGAGATGAATGAGTGAGTGATTGCTGAGTGCGGAGCTGAGCTTCCCATGCCATTGTGACGAATGTGAGTAGTACTGCTAGTGCTTATGTTAGAAAGATTAACGTGAGTGAGTAAGTGTCGGGTGGGAAAGTAGCGTGCAATCTCCCAGCGGCAGCTGAACTGACTGAGCTGGGTTTGCGCCTGGCTCTTTCGAGATTTGGATCCCGGTCAGAGACGAGGCCACTTTGAAGTACATGCCGCATTGAGTAATTTCTGGAGGTCAGTCGAGCTGAATGTTGGCTTGCAGCTCGTTTTAGAAGGTGGGCGGTAACGCGAAAGCTTCACGCGAACGTCGAGTGCGAGGAATTGCGATCCTGATTATTTTATTTTCGAGGAAGGTGAGCGACAGTCCGAGTTAGTGGCGTTCGGACTCATTGCGCTTGTCGATATTGCGGACGTCGCTCGCTCAGTGAAGGAGTCCAGCCGACGAGGCGCGGTGCAGCGAGGCTTTATAAGCCCGGAGTGAACGTGAGGCAATGCGAGAGGTGCGGGGATGTTGTGAGTGGGAGGGGCCTTATGATCGTCTTGAAGAGTGAACGAACCGGCTTAGCTCTAAGGGTAATGGTGCATAGACCAGAAAGCATGCAACCGTCCACAGTCCTGCCTCGAGGTGCGACTTTTTGACCGAGCTGCGAAGCATGCACATGGAGGAGTCTCCTGCCTTCTGGATCGTCTCTTCCTCTTAAAGCAACGCTAAGCTCGCTCAATTCCTTCTTATTCCGACTCGGAGCTCCGTGTAACCACGCTCATCGCTGCATCGCCCGCTCCGATCATGTCGATTCTTCTTGCGCTCTCGTTCCTCACTCTCTTCCAAATGCCGCATCTCGCATCAGCTGTTCCTGGTGGGTTCTTCCGATTCCAGAGGTTCTCGGCTGCAGAATTGCGACAAAGCCTCGGTCTCGAAAACCTCAAGCTCGACGATCAGGAGTCTCGCAACGCCGCAGTGGCAGAGCTGGTCGTTCCATCTGATGAGAGCCGCAGCAATCGCGAGCTGGCCCCGGCCCCATTGGCTCGCAACCGATCTGCTGTACCTGCGTCTCATCCGAATGGCAGCGCCCTTCGTGGAGTGAGAAAGCTGCTGTTCGGAACTCTGAGCTGCGCCCCGCAGGATCTCAGTCTGACACAAGGCCCCGTGAGCTCCACGAGCGGCATTCCCACTTTCAACGTGCAGATTGTGAACCTGTGCGGAGCATGCGCCATGGCCGACATCCATGTGGCTTGCGGCAACTGGGCCTCAGCGACTCCCGTCGATCCGTTCGTGTTTACTCGCCTGGGCTACAACGACTGCCTCGTCAACAATGGCCAACCGCTCAGTAGTCAGGGAAGCGTATCGTTCCAGTACTCCAATTCGGCCATGTATCCCATGAGCATTGCCACCGCCACCAACGAATGCTCACGATGAAGACGGCTCGCTGTGCTTGCCGCCAGCTGAGGTCACCTTTGTGCATATTATAGGCGGAGATGTACAGACTCCTACGGTTTTGTTTTCGAGTCTCATGTGGGATCCTGTCGCCGAGGAGATCGATTCAAAATTCCGAGATTCTTCGTGCCATGCGAGAGGAGGGGAGGAAGGATGATGATGATAGAGGCGGACGATCCGAAAGCGATATATGCAACTTTTGTAACGGTACTAGAAATTACAGTGTCCCATAGAACTTACAGGATCTGAATATAATCAAAATTTTGACGGTAGTACGTAAGCAAGCGCAAAGCTAGCATCCTAAAGAGATGCGTATCGAGTGTTTTTCTAAAGGTAGAATTCGGCGGACCTGGAGACTGGAAATCCAGTTTTTCGCATGGAGGCGTTCAAGCCAGCATGTGGTCAGAAGATGAGATAAATAAAATGAGCAAATATTGCCAAACACAGCTTCGCCAGTCCAGTCCATTTCAGTCATCTTATCCTCGTCCCTGCTCTCGGTGTGAGCCTGTGGGCTGTGTCAACTCTCGCACACCAGCACCACCAGCTCCACGCTGCAAAAGGCCGTTGTCTGTATGTAACGCCCGAATGGGCCTCCCTCTCTACTGTATACTTCAGTGCGTCAGTGGCCTGGGTCGAAAGCGGCGAGCGTGAGGAGACCATGATTCGGTTTTAAAGAAGGCATGATGCTTATCGTAGCTTCTGCTTCTGCTGCTGTCCTGCGTCTGGGTAGGTGTCTCGAAGAAAGCTGCGGCCCAATGTATGAGATGTCCCCACGGGATTGTCTCCTGTCTTGGCTGCCTGCCTTATCGGAGGAGGTCTATTGCTGGAAGGGTCTAGATGTAGGAAGAATTACAGAAACAGTTGATGAGAACTGTGAGTCCATTCAGGACAGGACGTGAGGGAATTCATTCGGATTGCGGATGATCTTGCCATCCTGTGCTGCTGGTGAGAAGTTCGGGTTTTTACTTTGACTTTTGGGGACGACCGCGAGGGCCTGCTCGTAGCTGCTGCTGCTGCTGCTCTAGCTTTGGTGCCTAGAGTCATGCATAGGGAACACTCATAAGAAGTGAGCAGATGAGTACAAGTCGGGTCGAGGCCGAAGCCCATTGACAACAAAGGTTCTACACGCTTGGATATGACATGAAAGTCTGATTCTGCGAGTAGGAGGAGAGGAGTGGCCGACAAATATACGGGGCCTGAACTCAGGATATATTCGTGTTCGGTCCTTGTGGGCACCTTCGGAGTGTTCGATTTACTGTACAGCACTCAATTGTATCCACAAGGCTCACTCACCCTCCATGCTCTCAAACAGTGTTGCAGCAGGAGATGGGCAGCAGCAGCAGCCAGCCGGCCGGCCAGCCAGCCAGACTGCTCTGATCATGGTGAGATGGGGGAAAGCTGGACAGAAAGCCTTTTCTCTTTATACGTCTCCACTTGCGTTGAATACATGGCTGGGTTGGGATGTTCCACGGACACGGACACGCTGTGGGGGGCCGGGAGATTTCTCGCTTCGTCTCTCCCGTGCTACAAGGATAGATTTCTGAAATCTGATGACTCGATGCTTCGACTCGGACGCACATGCCAAGTGCTCCCCGAGTACAATCTGGCCGGATTAACACTCGAGCTCGACAAGTTCCTCCTCCGGCTGCCTATGAGTTAGGGACAGGATTGCGACGATAAACCATTGAAAGTGTCAAGTTGGCATGTGGATGTTTTCCATGATGTCAGTCGTACTTCGTTTTTCTCTTTTCCGAGTTGTCTCTCATTAGAATGGAAGTGGAACGAACCAACCCACACGGGACCGAGACTTGGAATAAATCTGAGGAAAAAGCTGCACGGATGCGACTATATCCTCTTTATCTATCCATCTAACATGGGCTGCTGCTGCCAGCAGCTCCAGCTCCGGCTCCATCTGTGTGCTCGCTTACTTGCTCGCTTGCGATCATGCGTCTTGGTCTGGAACTGAATTTAGGATCTCTTCTGACACTGGAAGAGATGTCCGTTCCGGTCCGGTCCAGTCCAGTCCAGTCCGGTCCCCCTTTGTGCTTCTGCTGCTCGATCTGTATCTCGGATCTCTGGGTTGTTTCCGCCATTGCCTTAAGACACAACAGCCCTGACACACGTCGAGATCGTTCTTTAGATTCGACGAGAACGCTACAAGGACACTGCAAGCGTCCTCTTCGTAGCGGTCTAAGGTTCATTTGTTTTCTGCGCTGTGCTGATCGTAGTTCGTCCCTCTCTCCGCTTCCTACCATAGCATGTCCGAGACCGAGCCGAGTACACGACCGGTTTCGCTCGAAGTTAAGCGGTACAGAAGGCGTAAAATGAGACCCCGCTCGCTGCAAATGCATCCGTCCACTCGAAGAATGAATCTCAGTGAGTACGCTTCTCTATACCAGAAGGTGTATACGAGGATGAACATGGAGGCCAAAACCGTAAAGTCCCTTCCTTCCCTCTTTGGGGAGGGGGGGATTCCACTCTAGCGGATGCACCTTGCCAGAAGCTACGGAGGGAATAAAAAGGTGCACCGAGGCTGTCACCGAGGGGTCTATATAGACGAAGATCTGAAAGAGCCGCGAGGGTAATCATAGAAAACACTTGGAGCGAGCATGGAAAGGGACGTACGATCGAGGGTACCGGGATGATCGTTTTATAATAAGAACTACTCGAGAGCGATAGCTGTGGTCTGAGGAATCGGTCAAATTATTGCAGCCCTGATCTGATGATTCTGATCATTCAAGCGTTGCGAGAAACCGCAGGCCAGGCGTGGCATGCTTAGAATTGAATTTATGGCGCCTCGAGAACAAAATGTACGTAGCCTATTCCCTAGATTCATCGTGGGAGTATGATGGAATTATCTGTGCATTTGCACTCTATCTTCGGCCGACTCCAATTCCCGCAGCGAGGAGGCAGATGGTGAAAGCACGGCCATCCGTGCGAGGACGGCGAGTTTTGAAGACGACCACTGTAGCGTCTGGCCGGAGATGATCTATGCCTCTCTGGGATGCCGCAGTAATTCTGAAGCGTGCAAAGGAATGTTGGGAATGGATGCACTCGACGACACTGACCTATTTGTGGTGGGAGAAGCAGCAGAAGGATGAGTTCTTCTAGACGGCCAGAGTTTCAGGAGGATCAATTGTGCACAGAATCTCATGTTTTGAATGCAAGTGCTTGCAAGGCCCGAAGATGATATTCTTGAGAGAAACCTGATTCCTCCCTGCCCTGCCTCACTCGATGGGCGCACAAATCATGACTGCAGTTTCGCACGGCGCCTGATTAATTTCTAGACCATTCAATCGAGAGCTCATCTTCGCGCCACCTCCCATTATGGCTCCAGGCTCTCATACGGCTCGTGCCTGTTGGTGGACCACTTGCGCTCAGAGGTCCAATTTAAGCCCCGCGCATCATGACAAACAAGCCTCTCTACGCTCATGAAATGCACTCTGAGCCACAGTTTGTGTAAACATGAGTGACTCCCGTCCGAATTTGGCATGCTCTTGCATCTGAGCGTTCATCCACTGACGACAACGCTCGCTCCGCCGCCACTGAAGCCTGCATGTCCGGGATTCCAGATGGAAATGAACCAGGTGCGTGAACAGGAGAAGGCGGAAGGTCGGTTGATTTGGAAAGAGAGAGAGAGAGTGAGAGATGCATGGCAGGAGATGCTGGTTCTTTAATTTGGTTTGACCGCCACAGAGTGGTCCATCTGACGTCGTTAATGAAAGACATACTCCACAGTTGGCGAGAAGCTCGCTCCTCCTTCTTCTCCTTCTTCTTCTTCTACTACAGTGCAGCAGAATGCTGGGGCAGATTTCCCGATACGAAAGTCAATTTGCTGTTCATTTCAGCGCTCTGTGCGGAGCCACCTGGGAGAAATAAGCGGATACGGGCCAAACTGCGGAGAACTGCAAGTAGAAAGTGCAATAAATAAAGGGCTATACGGCAGGGCTGGCTGGCTGCTGCTGTAGGTGCTACCGAAGGTGCACCATACTGATCTCGGTGGGTCGGAACGAGGAGAATGCTGCTGCTGCTAATCCGGTTGACGAATCCTACAGTTATCGAACATCCAAGTAACTAACCTTCTCATTGACTTGTCATCAATCTCGAAGCTCCTCGCATTAATCAGCAGACCTTCTCGAGAATCGTCTTTCTAAATCCACCTAAAACTCCCCGCCTTCTACATGTTCATTGTGTGGCGAGCTCGGTGACGACTCCCAAGAGTTGAGATCTCGCGCGGGTTCATCATGAGCGACACAATATACTAATTTCCCATGGAAACCATTGGTGTTCGCAGCGCATTTTTTTAGAAACTTCTATTTCTATAGTTGCAAAGATGGTCCTGCCGTGCCATAGTGCTGGTCACTTGGCCGAGGAGTACGTCCCTCGCTTTCAATGCTACCCATGCATACTGAAGTAGGCATCTTGCAACCAATCCAGGACGTAGATGGTCCAATTTCATCTTCATCGAGCCTCGCTCTAGAAATCGTGAGTCTTAGGCTTGCTCTCGTCGTCTAAAGCCGAGCTGTCGCAGCCTTCATGCGGCGACTGGAGTGCCTTCGAGTTGGCGCTCGATCTCGAGGTGCCAAAGCCATAACTCGCTAGCTAGGTTCGGCCCGGGCAGTTTGGAAGAATGTCGACGAGCTGCGAGCGACACTCAAGGATCGGAATTTAATAATATAGTTCATGGCCTTGGAGGGAGTTCCCATCGGCCTGAAAAGTGGCAAAATTGCAACAATGTGGCGCCGAGATAATTACTCCTCTCTCGAGAGTAAAGGCGAAGTCAACCCCCAAAAAGACCTGAAGGCATGTGAAATCCACAGACGCAAAGCATGGTGACGACTCCGACTTCACCGGAAACATAATGCACCAGGCAGTACTAACTTGAACCCCGTGACTCGAAATAAAATCCAGCCCGGGAGTCATAGCATCATTAGAAAACACGAGCATGATTGCGAGAGCAACACTACGGTATGCCATCATCAACGACATACTTCAGATGCGGTATGAAATGCATTTGCCACCATCACTGCATCATCTGGGGGCCAACCCTCGAGCGGTTTCTCATGTACAGTATACTGAGCAGCAGAGCAGCTGAGCAGATATATGCCATGGCTCATCAGACGTCTTTGCCTGGTAAGCCGAGGCCATCCGAAAGTCATACTGCACATCACAAGCTACGTGTGGGTGATGGCATCACAGCGCGAGCTGCTGTGAGTTTCCTCGGAAAGCCGTAACTGATCAGGCAGGGTGCGGGTAGAGGGCGAGCGAAGGGGAAGGAGGGAGTCCGGGGAAGGTGGAACAGCTGATGGATGATGCAGTCCATGAGCGATCTGAGCCTGTACCCGAGGGGTAAACTTTGAAACAGCTTCTGGCACAGCTGCAGTAGCATGCATCACCAAAACACCTAATGATCATGAGCAGCTCCGTACTGTACCTGCGCTCTTTAATATCGCACGCTGCACCGCCGTCTCTTCATTCATCAAT